GGGGGGGGGGTTCATGCAGTGTCCGAATCAAGATTTTACCGCTTGGTCCGGTAACCGAAGCCCCCCCTGTATAAAAACTGAGGTTTTAACCATGAATGAAAAAAGAAGGCGGTTTTCCCAGGGTTTTTCTTCCTCTTTACAAAAAAAAAAGTTTGGTTCTTTACAACTTAAGATGGAACAAGGGAGTTTTATCGAGTGATTGAAGGAAATGGGCATTCTGGGGTTTTGAAATTTTGGTTCTTCTTTGGATTAGATTTCAAATTTCTATCTTTTTGTGGGGGTTCTTGAAATTTTTTTCACTGATCTCTGGGAATTTCATTTCATTGTTGGTTTGCGTAAAGTTTTGATCTTTTTGGGAGAGGAGAAAATGGCCTGAGGTTGAATCTGGTGCAGAGTTGGTATTTACTTGATCCCTCATCCCATTTGTATTTTCTTGTTAAATTTTCTGATCATATATTCTCAAATGTAACAGAAATGTTTAATTTCTGTCGGAAGTTTCATCTTTTATGTTCCTTTTTGAAATCTTTTTTGTTTTAATTTCTCATTGCCTTGTCCTGTTTTCTTGGAAATCCTTCCCTTTTACCCGTAGTATTTGATGTTTTTTTTCGCATTTCGATATCTAGAATTATAAATCCAGCTTTATGTTGATCAGTTTCTATGCACTGTATTTTTTCTGAATTTCATTCCTTACAAATATTACAAGTCTTTACCCTTCCTTTTTTTTACCAGTTTAATTACTTTCGAGTCTAAAGACATGGTCTTGTTGCATAAGAGATCAGACGATAATGGCTACCATGCACCTCTGATACCGCGATCTACCAGATCGACCAGGGTAATTAGTATTATCCTTGATGAAGTAAAATAAAACCTATTAGTTTAACTTTATTAATTCTTCTTGTGATTTTCTTTTTTGTTAACAATGCCCTTATTCTGTTGTCATCCTTTAGAAGAGGGGTTTTACCTGGAGGAAAGCTGAGGTTGATAAACAAAAATGTGCATTTGATTTACTAGCCACAATAGCTGGAAATTTACTCCTGCAGGAAGGGGATAACTCCCCTCCTTCGTCCACCAAAGACAACAACAACGAGGAAGAACAGAACGCGCAAGAGACAATCTCAGAAGAACAATGCCGCGATCGTGGTGGCTGCGAACGGAATTTCTTTCTTTCGGAGCTTGTCGCGAAAGAACAAATTTGTTATGATGATCATGAGGAACATGAGACTTGGCCATCTGCAGTAACGACAACCTCTGATTGTTCAGGCCGGCTTGAACTTGGAAGCCTAAACAGGAAGGGATTTGAATGTGGAAAAGAGAGAAATGACAACCATAGGAATCTCAAGGATTACCCTTTTAAGAAAAGGACGCTTTATGATGATGATGATGATGATCATAAGAACTCAATGTCCATTTCTGAAATTGGCCATTATAATGAAGATGCTTCCAGTTATGCTCTAACATTACCTACAGGTTCATTCTCATTTTGTTCTTTATTTTGTGGCATTTTTTATGCTCTATTTTGGCTTTCCTTTCACACTTATTGACTCTCATGACAGCACATTTAAAACCAGGGACATCATCGTCTTCTAGAGGTGAAGGTGCATCGTTTAGATCCAATGAGTCGTCCCGGGGTATAAAAACTTGGATCATATCACACTAAAAGATTAACTGATGATTCAATTTTTTTTGTTCATAATGTTTCTTGTTTTTACCTCAGTGAAGCTCAGAATAAAGTCTTTCAGAATCCCGGAGCTCTTTATCGAAATCCAAGAAAATGCAACTGTTGGTTCTTTGAAGGCATGTAGTGGGGAAACAAAGTTTTTATGATGAGACACATTTTATTCTGATAACAAATGAAACTGAGACATGAAAAATGCTTCTTTCAGAGGACAGTTATGGAGGCAGTGACAACAGTTCTTGGCAATGGACTAAGGGTTGGTGTGCTTTTGCAAGGCAAGAAGGTTAGAGATGACACCAAAACCCTATTACAGTCCGGAATTCGCCACGATGACAACGCGGTTGGCTTCACCCTTGAGCCCATTTCTGCCCAAGATTCCACCCAACCAAGAGATCCTCGCCGCGTAAAGAACACGACCAATCTCATCGGAAGTGGCGCCACATCAGCAATGAATGATGTGGTGGGACCATTGGTTGCATTTCCCAGAGGGAATAATGTGGGAGGAGGAGGAGGAGGAGGAGCCCTTGCTGTCGCAGCTCCTCCTTCCCCAACGAGGAAACCAAGGGGACCCGAAACTGCACAGCGTCGGATCCGTAGGCCTTTCACGGTTTGTGAGGTGTGATACACTTAGATAATAATTCGTCTCATAGAATGATGAATGTTTCATCCCTATATATACAGAATAAGTAATCATGGTAACCATAGAGTAAGGAAAGTAAAGAATAATAATGTCTTATTTCCTATTGCTCCTACTATTCTTAATAAGGTGGAATCGCTGGTTCAAGCCGTTGAGAAGCTGGGAACCGGGAGGTGGCGCGTCGTCAAGCTTCGCGCCTTTGACAATGCCAAGCATAGGACTTATGTTGATCTTAAGGTGGGTGTCCCAAAATCCTATGTTTTCCATGAATCTGCATTGCTATAAATCTCAATCCAATGTTGTAGGGCTTCTTTGGTTTATTTAAGTTGAAATTTTAAAAAAACAGTTGAATATGATGATTTTAAGGTATGTAAATATGCATGTATTTTATGGCAGGACAAGTGGAAAACATTAGTTCACACAGCAAGAATATCCCCTCAGCAAAGGAGAGGAGAACCGGTGCCTCAGGAGCTACTGGACCGGGTCTTAATTGCGCACTCCTACTGGTCAAACCGCCAACATAATCACCAACACCGCTCTCCCACTGCCTTTCTACTCTAATTAAGACTAACCTCAAACAGTAATAGTAATAATAATACTCTGTAATAATAATAACAAACCAAGAAAACATTCTTATTACGGAGTATTATTATAATCATCATTAGCATTTTATACCAAGTAGTACTGTCTGGTGCATCACTGTTCACCGTTTCAGTTTTTTTCTTCCAAAGTTCGAAGTACACCGTAATAAACGTAGAGAATATCTATCCCTAGTGATGGGCCGAAACCCAGTGGGCGGCCCAACTGAACCATTTACACCACTTCGGGTCAGACACTCGGAGAATACCCAGGTCTGGGCCGGCCCATGGAGCCAGGCCCGGTTGACTTTAGACCAAACATAGCTGGCAGAGCCGGTTACGGAGAAGGAGACGGAGCAAATTGGCCGTTACAGAGCCGGAAAAAGGGGATCGCGCCCTTAACGGGATAGACTCCATCGATTATGCGTTACCCTTAAGTGCATGTAGCTCAGGTATAAATAGATGAGACCCAAAAGGAGGAAATTCAAGCTAGATCAAGCTAATAATACATACCCAATTCTCGAATTCTCGTTCTGAATTTTGTTCTTACGATCCGCTTCGTGAATCGGATCATTTGGTGGATTTATTGTCCATCAAATTGGTGCTCTCGTTGAGAGTTCGAGAATCATACTCAGAGGAAACCCTCCATTAAGACGATGGTGCAAACACGCAGTAACGCCAATGTGGGTACCGGAGTTCCCCAACA